CTCCAGCCTCCTTTCAGGCAGTTGCAGAGAGCGATGAGGGCTCCCCTCAGCCTCCTCTTCTCCAGGCTGAGCCCCCCCAGCTCCCCCAGCCGCTCCTCCCCAGCCTTGGGCTCCAGCCCCTGCCCCAGCCTCGCTGCCCTGCTCTGGCCACGCTCCAGCCCCTCCATGGCCGCCTTGGGGTGAGGGGCCCAGCGCTGAGCACAGCATTCGAGGGGCGGCCTCACCAGTGCCCAGCACAGGGGGACGATCCCTGCCCTGGTCCTGCTGGCCACACTGTTCCTGATACAGGCCAGGATGCCATTGGCCCTCTTGGCCACCTGGGCACCCTGCTGGCTCATGTTCAGGCGGCTGTCGACCAACACCCCCAGGTCCTTTTCTGTTGGGCAGCTCCCGGCCGCTCCTCCCCACGCCTGCAGCGGTGCCTGGGGTTGTTGTGCCCCAAGTGCAGGAATGACCGAAATGCGTTTGTTATGAGGGAGCTTAATAATGCCACCTACCCTTTTGTGCCCTTTGTGATATGCCAGCTACTAGTGGCAGAAGGGGGTCGTTTACCTCGAGCGTTTGGCCGAGGAGGACATACCATTTAACGAGAAAGGAACGAGGAGGCGTTTCAAGGCTGCGTTGTATGGGCTGCTGTAACAGCGCGTGAGAGAGAATTCCTGCACCAAAGTGGTGAGGCTTTTGACACCTCCGTATTGAGTTTTATTCTAAATAGCGAAAAGCTTTTCTGAGGCTAAACAGCAAAATGTATAACAGATGAGTTAATTAGTTTATTCAATCTGTTTAAAAATTATCTACAAATGTGCAGAGAAGTATTTTGGTTTTCATTGATTCATATACATACGCATAGAACTGTTAACGCAAATCCTCAAAAAACCCCAGTTTGTACCTTAAAGTCTTTTTTGCATGTTTTTCTATTAAATTTGTGGATTTTTTTTCCTTTTTAAAAAGCAGCGCATTAGCAGCATGTTGCACTCTGCTCTCAGTCTTATCCTACAACTGTGAAGATTTATGGTCTTCCTTTTGTTACCCCCCACGTTGCGGGGGTCCGGGAGGGCAGGCTGAACGCGAGTCCGTTTTACGCGCGCTCAGAGGAGCTGCTGCCGTTAATTACGTCTCGCGTATCGGTCTCTCTTCTAGCTGTCTTTCTTGACTTATCTGAAACTTTTTTTTGCTATAAATACAGGCTGGGTTTAATTAAAGCACGATATAATCCTATAATTTTTTAATGTGGAAATTCATCTTTTTGCATTGTGTTTTATGACTTTATTGTTAGGGCTTGATTAAAGTTGGAAATAAATTGGAAGTATTTAACTCCTAAATTGAACAATTTTCTGCACTTATGCCAAGTGTATTTGCCCAACATTTTTTTTTTTTTCTTTCTCTTCCCTTTTAAATCTGTTTTTCACATGAAATGGGATTTTGTGTGTTGCAACAGGCTGTGTCCTGAGCTGACCCGGTGCTGTTCCACCTCTCCCTCTGTGCTCCAGGCGCTGTAAGTTCATGCCTACCCCAGTGGCAGGATCGGACCCTGTTGTCAGGATGCTCGGTATTCGCCGTGGCAGAAAGAGCCCTTTCCTCCCTCGAGTTGCCGTTAATTACGCACTCCATAGCTGATCGACGGGCAAAAAAATCTGAGGTAGCGCTTTGGAAATGGAGCATTTTGGCAGAAGAAGTGAACATTGAAGGCATGCTTTAGACCCTTGCAGAAGTCATTCTCCAAAGAGCAGCATTGTACACTCTTGTGCACACATTAATGTGTCTTTTGGGCCTTGGTCCTCCCTTATTGCTGTCACTAATCCTCGCCGCACAGACAGCGATAAAATATTGCAGTAGAGCCTTCCTTTCATCAAGAGAAGGTAGTATTCGCATTAAAGTTTACAAAAATTTGACCAGTGAAGAAACCTTTTAAGAGGAATTACAATATAAATTTGGTAGGTAAATCTAGTAGTCTTAAATGTACGAATTAAGAAACAGAATTCAATTATAAGTAGCGCTTTGTTTATAGGCTTGTAGGAATAAGTCTAAAGCTGATCTCTAATTCATAACTTTTCCCCCTTTTAGTAAGGATTCGTCAATCGGTACTAGTGTTTTCAATTTCTTTACGCATAAAGCTAGCACTGTGTTAATGGAATTAGTGTTGTGTGCATTTTCTTATCTGAGGGGGTATCCCGCAGTGTTTTACACCTCTTTTCCATGACAGGCAGGAATTTGTAGAAAGCTGTCCATGTGCTGCCTGAAACTAGCGGAATTATTCCTGGAAAAATTTGGCTTGGCGTTTCAGTAATTTCCTTTTCTGTGGTTTGCACAGCTTGCTCTTAAATGTTAGATATTTTAAATCTAATCATCTGGAGAATATTTTTAAATGCAGAATGCCTACTTGTACACTTTGACTGCAGCACTGTAAGAGACCAAAAAAAAAAACCAACCCTGAAAAATGTTATTTTATATTAATTTAAACAGCAGTTTGTCAAATTATGTTGTATATCAAAATTTGTTGCTGACCATTAGTTTCACAACATAAGTATGGGCTCCAGGTGCTGAGCAGAGATCCCCCTGCCGCCCGGGGAGGTCCACGCTGGAGCAGAGATCCACCTGCCGCCCGGGGAGGTCCACGCTGGAGCAGAGATCCACCTGCCGCCCGGGGAGGTCCACGCTGGAGCAGAGATCCACCTGCCGAACGGGGGCGTGTACGGTGAGGCAGTCCTGGCAGGAGCTGTGGACCTACAGAGAGAGGAGCCCAGGCTGGAGCAGGTTTGCTGGCAGGGCTTGTGACCCCACGGGGGACCCGCGCTGGAGCAGGCTGCTCCTGAAGGACTGCACCCTGGGGAAGGGACCCATGCTGGAGCAGTTGGTGGAGGGCTGTCTGCCAGGGGTGGACCCCAGGCTGGAGCAGGGGCAGAGTGTGAGGAGCCCTTCTCTGCGGAGGAAGGAGCGGCAGAGACAGCGTGGGATGAACCGACCGAACCCCCATTCCCGTCCCCCTGCGCCGCTGGGGGAAAGAGGGAGAGAAACTGGGAGGGAAGTTAAGCCCGGGAAGAAGGGAGGGGTGGGGGGAAGGGGTTTTAAGATTTGGTTTTATTTCCCATTATCCTACTCTGATCTGATTGGAAATAAATTAAACTAATTTCCTCAAGTCGAGTCTGTTTTGCCCATGACGGTAATTGTGAATGATCTCTCCCTGCCCTTCTCGACCCACGAGCCTTTCCCGCTGTTTCCTCTCCCCATCCACTGAGGAGGGCAGTGACAGAGGGGCTTCGGGGGGCACCTGGTGTCCAGCCAGGGCCAACCACCACAGGCAGTGATTAAATGGCTGAAAACCTGCATCGAGGTGTTATATTTTTTTTTTCCATAACTAATTAGAAGTTGTTTATAAATATTTGCCAAGTACAATTAGACAGGTGTGTGCAGAGAACTTTTGTCCTGTGGACCCTCAGTATTAAAACTAAGTAGGATTTTTTTTTTTTTGAAAGTGTGTATAAAACGTTATTGAGTCTCCTGAGACTTTCTTTCATAGGGGAGACACCAGCACATGAAATAATTGCTCTAATAGATTCCTTTTCTGTAGCCGTGAAGAAGTGGATCAAGTTTAATAATGAATTGTTACTCTAATTTACACTGTTGTACCTCTTACTACCTTAAAAACCATAAGATTGGAAGTCTGTTTTGGAGCGGCGCTTGGTCGTGGCTGTTACCCCGTCCCCCCGTAACCCATATATGTGTGATATTTTTGAACAATGGAAGCGAAACGTACTGCAAACTCTTTGAAAGGTCGATGCGTTGGTGTTCCTTGGCTTCCAAGCACCGTTGCTAGGTCGGTGTTCGGAGCTTCACAGGGCTTGGGGTACTTTCATTGCAGTCAATACCTTTGAACAGAGCGGAATGTGTTGGGGGTTTTTTGTTGGTTTTTGGGTTTTTTTTTCTTATTGCAAAACAAAGTGGATCAGATCTCCAATTTCTAAGGCATTTTTGTTGGAATTTCACGTCCTTTTATAAGTGGATTGCCTTACAGTGTGGGGTTTTAATTAATTATGTTAACTGGGCACTTAAAAGATTTAGACATGAGCACGTGTATGGTTTTTATAAAAACTGCAGTAGTACAAAGGCTGCTCCAGGTTAATATTGCATTGCATTCTGTTTTAGTACACCAAAAATAATGATAAAACTCGTCACTTTTTTTTCTCTTTCCCAGTTTCAGGCAAAATCAATCACTTTTGTACAGTGATTCTAGCTTGTTCAGATTTTCCTGTAGGAAATGGCAAATGTAGGCCTATTCTACAGAGTGCTTATTATGAAACATATGAGGCGCACCATTTAAGAGCGTTATGCCGTTATCACGCAGCAAGTTCTTCATGGATCAGTCCTTTAAAATCCAGATTCCCACTTAGGACAAAGTGGAATTAGCTGGGATACAAAGATCCTCTTGAGTGCAGGACACCCCGTGAATTCGCACAAGCTTGTAATGGGGAAATACATACACAGGTTGCTCTGCTCATGTTCTTTGCTGGCTGATTTTACCGTGCTTTTATTCAGTTGATTCAATGCGAGAAGCGTCTTTTAAAGTGGCTTAGAAGTAGGTCAGGTCTTACTCCGGGTATACGTGCATGTGAGCTGTCTGGGAGATGGGGAAATGAAGGAGTTTCTGAGGACAAAATATTGAGAATGAAGAGCAAGGAGTGCTTAAAGATGATAGTATTGGATTAAATTAACCCAGTTTATTTACAGTGGATGGCTCTTCTTTGTGTGGTGATTTAAAGGCTGCAGAAGTGATTGCTTGTTTCTATAGAATTGTGATTTTTCAGTGCCCTTAACTTCAGAAATCCATGGGATGATGCTTCTTAGATTTGCCAGTTTGGTGTTTATTTTATAGTAGAATTTTATTTAGTACATAGCACTTTCCAACCATGTAGCCTTTAATCGAAAGCCCTCAAGTTCTTTGTACTTAACATTATGGGACCTCCACAGAGGTCGTGCTGTCTCGGCAAAAATGATGAAACTGTGTTTTGTCCGAGTTTGTGTTGCGGAGCCAGGCAGGAGCTCAGCTTCTGCGCTTGGGGAGAGGTCTTGGCTCCGCTGAAGTCAATAAAAGTGGATAGGGACTGTGACAAGCAACATTTAAATAAAACCCCAAAACCACCCACCCCCCCAGCACCAACCGCCCCCCGAAAAACCAACCAAAACACAAACCAGAACCATGTCGACCTCCACGATACGACACCCTGCGTAATTCTTCCAGTGAATTCAGCTGCAAGTATCATAGGCTCTTGCACTGAGATAATTCTGCTCTCCAGAATGTGTGGAATTAGAAGAACAATATTCCTTGTGTAATGTTGATCTCTGAAAACCAAATAAAACTTTAATCATAAAAGACTTTCTCCATTAAGTGATAAGAACCCTTTCTAATAAAAACTTGTCAGTCTTTCATGGTTTAGGAATAATTTAAGCATGTTACATTCTCTTGTTTTAGACTTTATATAGTGGCAATCTCCCTTATTTGCTACTCCAATGGAAATCGTAAATTTAAATACGGTGTATTGGGACTTAGTGCTAGCAGGTTCAGCTGTTGGTTCCACTTTTGATAGTCTTAAAATTTAATGGTATTAAATTATCCTATTTTAAACTTCATAAAATGTCAATTTGCCTGGTTTTGCTACTCAGTGGAAGTCATAATTCCGAGTCGAATGTGCCATGATCCGCTGCGGGCAGACCTAGCGGGTGGTAGGAGCGTGCCGGCAGTCTGGAATTGCTTTTTAATGGGCGCGAGGCAGAGGGCTCGCAGGCGTTTTTGTGGGGCTGGCAGCGGGTTTTGCCGTCGGCGCCGCGGGGGAGGCGGGTGGCTCTTCCCCGCTGGGACGCGCCCGCTCCGGGCGGGATGGGGCGGTGGGGCGTCTCACGCTCTCGCCGCTGGTGTTGGCCTTGGGCTGCGGCAGGGGAAGGCGTTGGGCTTGCCGCCTCGGAGGGGAGGTGTAAAAGTAGCTGCGTTGAGCAAAAATGGGCTAGGAAGAGGCTTTTGTTGGCTTTTTTTTTGACTACTCAAAGGTCTGTTTCTGTTTTGAAGATTAAAGATCTGTATAACTGATAAACGTTCCATTCAAGCATTTAATTTAATTTCCTCAAGCATACTGTATCTGATGGTATTCATTATTTAGGTATCTGTACAGTCCTGAGTGTTAGGTACTTTAATCCTTATTACATGACGTGACAAGGCAATGAAATTGAAATACATGCAGTGTAAAAAGCATTTATATTTATATATTGTATTTGCTATACTTCCAGAATCCCTTAGTTCTTTTGTTTTAAGAATGAGTAATGAGGCGGCTCTGCGGACGCCGAGCTGCGGCAGTCCCTTTTCCTTAGGCACCCCACCGAGGCGGAGGAGAGGAGCGCTGGAGGCATCTGTGTACATCCAGAAAGCAGAGGGATAGGTTTTGTTTGGTCAGGGGTTTGGATTTTTTTGTTTGTTTGTTTTCATTTGAGTGGTTGGAGTATTTTATTTTTTTACTGTATGTTGTCAGTTGCTAGGAAGCTTGAGTCTACCTGTAGATAAAATTTTTCTTATAGAAAATGCACATAGTTTTTTGTTACTTGCTGCTTTGTTGCAGTTTGGAAGATGTTAGCATTAAAGGAAAGCATCATGCTCTCTACAATGGGGATTTCTTAAACTGTGTTTTAACTGCCAGTTATGTCATCTTTAATTAAATGTTTATGCTTGAAATAATTTTCTTTTGGGAATGTTTGTGACTTTCTGTAGATACAAAAGTAAAAAAAAAAAAAGCCAGAGTTGTGAACCACAAATTGGGCAAGGCAGAAACTGCAGTAGTAAATGCTGTTTATCTTGTGTTAAATTTTTATGGCGAGGTGACACAGCGAGTCTCGGAGAAAAGGACTGTTTCCCCGCAAGTAGATCAACGCATCTCAGCTTTAACTTCTAAACTAAACTGGTGTGGTGTATTGTGTGTTAATGCTAGTCCACGGTACAAGGAGTAAAAGAAAAAAAAAATCATTAAAATGTACTAAAATTCCTCACTCGGGAAGTGTGACGAATGCGTATTCTTTCAGTTAGTAGTGTGGAAAACTAATCTTATAAAACCTTAAGTATCAGGTATTTTGTAAAATGAACTTTGGCTGCAGATTCACTTAAAACTCTCTCGTTCATTTGCCCAGGGCTGTGGTTTGAAGGTCTGTGTTCTGTGTGTCTGGGCAGAACCTAGACCCGCAGACGGGGGACAGCCTGCTTTCGAACTTCCAGAGAAACTGCGTAGTTGGATTCACTACCATAATCCACCCAAAACAAGCCCTTTGGGCGCGCAGGGAGCCAGGGGTGGCCGGGAGGGCGTTGGGGCAAGCCGGGGAGGGTGGCGAGGGGGAGCTCGGCTGCGGCTCCTTGTTGCTGAGCTTGTGCTGCAGCCACGGGTCGGGATGCGGTCTCGTGTCCGTATGTCTTCTGCAGCTCCGGGTGAGCAATGCCGGCTGCCTCCTCAGGCAACCAATTCCAGCAACTCGTTACCCTCCTTTTAAAATTTTTTTTTTTTTTAATATCGCTAGACTGAGTCTTTTCTGCCGCAAAAAGAAGATGCGCAATTGTTTTCTTGTAGAGCCTGCATAACCCATATGCCTTTGCCACCTGCAGCTCTCGTAGCGATTTGAAGACTGTAAGTCTCGTTGTCTTTAGGCTAAACAACCACATTCCTCTGGTCTTGCGTGATTGTTTTACACCTCCAGCAGTTCTCCTGGTGCTCCTTCAGCATCTTCCCACGTGCTAGCTCTTTGCAACGTGGTGCCCAACGCTGAGCACAGCGCTGCGTCGGAGGGGAAGACTGGGATCTGCCTGCTTTTCGTGACTTATCCTCTGTT